TGTTGGCAGCATACTTTGCGAAACCCGTTAGTTTTATATTCGAGACTGTTTCAATTATTTTGATTCAGAAATATTTGAACGCAGAAAGTAAAAAAAAAACACTCCGTGTTTTATAAAATCTTGCCTTTGGAAGCATTTTTTTGCGAAAGACATTTATTTGAACTTTATTTTAAATCATATTCCAAACTTTTTTTGGATTACCACCCATTTTGCAAGCCTCACTATTACTTTACTGGGAAGAAGGAAAAAAAAACGATAATAATTATTAAAAATTTTTTTGTCCCAGTTTAAATCTCTACTTAAAGTTATTGAAAACATGCGTAATGGCCAATGTTGAAAATGTTTTTGATCTAATTTCGAATAAAATAACTCATACGTAACATTTTTAAATATTTGGATGAAAACAAATTCCTCATATCACTTTGCAGCTNGTAAACCCATGAAATTGGGTCGGCTGTTCAACGACGGTTATAAAATAAAATAAAATTCCTCATATCACGTTGCAGCTTAAATTAACTACTTGATTATCCCACATTTAGTAAAAAAAACAAAACTGAGAGAAAAAAAGTAATCGAATAAATGGTTTTTATACCGTGCTCTAAGGTATCATGATAAAATAGCCAAATTTTACCACAATTACCAAATTTTATCACATGCTAAAAAATTATATTTGCTTGTTATATTTTCGCAAATCTTTACCAAAGCGCCTCGGTAAAAGTTACCGAGCTTTTTGGTGTTCTCATAGAGCTAAAGACGTGGTAAATTTTACTATATTCGGGAAGTTTAAACCACTTTTTTTTTCTCAGTATACTAACCAACACTAATACAATATTATACAGCTGTGCTGTTAAAAATAATCACATTTTTCTCATTGAATTGAGTATAACGATACCAAGTAAAAGTTTGTAACAAATCTCAATAAATAAAAATAAATAAATAAAATAATAAAAATAAATAAATAAAATGTCGGATTGTGTATCTGCAATAATTGCCTTATTTTTTTTTTTTAAATCGCTTAATTACTTTTATTTTTAAGAACTTTTTTCCTTTCTAAAATCAGAATATAGTCCAAAAATAATTTTAATCCCGACTGCACAGCCCTGGTTTTAAGTCGTATTATTATTATTATTATTATTATTATTATTATTACTATTATTTACAATTGCACAAAAAAAATTTGGATATTCAACAAATGACCAACAATAATAATTTCTCACATACAAATAATAAAGCTGTATTAAATAAAATTTAAATATATATTTTCCGTGCTTAAAAATATCAGCACATATGTATATCTAGTTTAACATTTGTAAGTTCGTGACTTAAAATAAGCATTCTAACAAGTGTCAAAAAATAATAAATATATTCAAGCTGGAATTAATATTGTATGCATACAATGAAATTGTTGGGATAAATGTAAAAACTTGAAACGCATTAACTGAATGAATATTTTATATTTTATGTACGCGTCCTTGGTGATGGCAACAGTACTTCAGTCGCGAAAAATGTCCATTCCAACAAAAAATATTTCTACTTTAATTCGAACTAAAAAATATTAATAATATGACGATTGAAGTAATTACAGTATTCGAAATAAGATTATAAGATAATAATGAACGTTAAAGCATGGTTTTATAAACAATAACTAGATAAAAATAATAAAATATGTAAAATGTTAATTAAAATAATACCATGAATGATCAACAAAACAATAACATGATTTGCATTAACATGATAATTATAAAAATAAACTGATTGGCGTAAAATGTAACATGACAATTAAAATATTAACGAAATTGGAAATAAGGTAATGACACAAAAATTAAAATAATATTATGTAATAAGTTAAAATAATATTATGATAAATAAAAATTTATAAAATGATAATTTGCATATTAGCACAGTAAACAAAATAGCCACATTAGTATTAAACTAACATAATTTTTAAAATTATATTTTAACCCGCGTAAAAAATAACGTAAACATTAAAATACTAACAATATCCTAAGTAAAATAATTTTATGATAAAAAAATAAAAGATGACAAATAAAATAATGACATGACAATTAAAATATTAACAGTATCTGAAATAAGGTAACGACATGAAATTCATAATAATAATGCGCAATAAAGTAAAATAATATCATGATGAATAAAAATTAATAACTCACATGATAGTTTAAATATTAGCACGGTAAACAAAATAGCAATACGATTATACTTAAACTAACATGATGATTAAATTTATAATTCTACGCATAAAGAAATAACATGAACATTAAAGTGTAAGTAAATCTCAAGTAAAATTCTGATATGATAAATAAAATGAAAGCATGCAAATAAAATACTGATATTATTAATAAAATAAAAGCATGTAAATAAAAAAACATGAAACATGATGATTGAACTAGTAAAAAATATAAAGCATTCCCGTAAACTGCCCATTTTGTGTAGAAAATGAGTCATGGGGGGTAAGGCTGCACAATTTTGTGACCAACGGATTGATGGCGGATATGTGGTCTACATTGCGCACCAACCACCTTTACTTTGCTAGTAGGTTGTATGTGCTTTAAGCCGCTGCTAGTTATTCCCAATGAAAACTCAGCCTGCCTTTAACCACTGAGCCATCGCAGTTCAATTAAACAAGTAACAAAATAATAAAAATATAAATAATGAATAATAAAAATATAAATAATGAATAATAAAAATATAAATAATAATAAAAATATAAATAATGAATAATATAGTAACATATATTAAGTAAAATAATAACATGAAAATTAATTAGAATGAAAAAAAAATCTACTCGATTTGCAGTGAAATAAAGTGTTAATAAAAATTATAACTTGATCTGCATAAAATATTAACGTAACTAGAAATATTGGATGATTTGTATAAATAATTATAATTATAAATATTGGAAAATTTGTATAAATATAAAAACTTGAAACCATAAGTAGAGTATTAATATTATTTCTGGGCTAAGTGACGTCCTTGGTGCATATTTTTACCTTGATCCAAATTAAAAGTAACCACAATCTGGAAAATATGGTCTCAATAGTTTAGACGGGAGAGCGACCGAAGGTTAAGTTTATACCCCTTAATGTTGATTTCACTTATTAAGGAACTTTTTGCAACCAATTATAAAATTCGTTTGTCCAAAGATAATTTTATGAAGAAAAAAAATAATTTGTAGCGGTTATTTATTGTATCGTATTTTTTTTTTTTTTCCATATAGGTTAAAAACTTTCCGAACCGTTGTAGGTAAAAAAAATTTAATCATTAGAACAATTCAATTTGAAATAACAAAAAAAGATAAAATTTGAGCAATTCAAAATCAGCTAAATAGTTTCTACGCTACAAAATTGCGATAAAACCGTATTTTCAAATTACCATTTCTCGTAAATTATTGGATCGATTCCGTTCAAATTTCAGATTTATTTGTTGTTGTTGTAGGCCATTAAGGCACAAAGGTTGCGATTGTTCTTGTTTTCCAGTGGCACCATCTATTGCCAAGAATTCGAGTATTGCCACACCCATACATCAAATCCGTTTACAGGGCGGACCCAATCATATATCCATTCATTCATCCACAAATCTCAATTTTGACCTAAAATAGAGAACTATCAACCTCCAATCCCGTAATCCCTGAGAGGTATAATTTGAAATAGGAACACGGAAGACTTTGTGACCCGACAGATTTAGCGTGCACTAGTCTCGCAATTGTGGAGCCTTATTCTCCATGACACCTTTGGCCCACAACAGGTGGTTGTGATAATACTTATACTTTACTTTTACCACATTAACTACTTGGTTATATTTTAAACGAATCATAGGACACGGCACAATCTATGAGCGTCGCAGGGTCGCAATTTCTGAGGAGGACGATATTAAATTGTACAATTACAATAGTTCTCTCAATTTCACGCATAAGAAGAAAAAAAATTTCTTAAATGCGTTAGTTAACTTTAAAAAGGGTAATTATTTTTAAATATTTCCTGTTTTTAATTTTAAGGAATTTATTAAATCGATAATAATTCACGAAAATTTCCTTTATTTGGCGATTGAGAGGGACTCATAGTGATTTCTAATAATTGAAAGGGACATATTCCCCTCAATAATGAAATATTCAGGGGAACGCATACCTACGCCCCCCTGACAATAACGCTCATGGCACAGTCATAACCTAGATATTCAATATATTAAAAATTAAGTTTTGTTTAAAATGTCGTTATTTTTTATTTTATTTTAAACATTAATAAATAATTAAACGAGTTCTATGAACTCTATACGACGAATGAATTAGAATCAGTAGACTAGCTTAAAACAAATTTTTAAAAAAATTATTAGCCTGTCTATATTATTATAAATATCAATGTGTTATTGTTTATATTTGTAATGCAACTATTGATGGCTACCATGCTTTTTTTTTTCCCTCTAATGAAAAAAAAAGAGATTTTTCTGTAATGGAATATTAAAAAACTTTTTCACAACTGATATATTTTCAGTAAAATAAAAGAAATTTGTTTCACTTCACAATATTTTATAATTTGTAAATACGAGGGAAAATTGATATTCCAAGAAGGAAAAAATTTTATGCAGGTCAAGAAGGCCCACCCCAAATGTTCCAAAAATTATTTGTGGAATAGTTGAAACTCACAAAAATCATTAATACTAATGTAGTATTAATTACATTTAATACTATGTTTGATGCTTTTTCCATTCGTTTTTAAGTCGATAATAGCTTTCATCTTTGTGTTTCCTCTTTTAAAGTAAAGAATCACAATTTATTTTAGCGCAGTTAAAATATAGCATCTAATAATCAATTGTATAGTGATAGTATGGGAAAATATCAAACTATCTTTATATAAACTAGTTGATAAAAGGAATTTTCACCTTGAATCCGAAACTGATCAATAATAATTATCTTAAAGATATTGAAAATATACTATAAAAAGAAATTTTGGCAACGTCCATGAGGTTTAGATAGCGCCCTCTCGTGGGTACGGATGATTGCCGCGGCAAACCGCAAATTGACGGATTTAGTGTGAGCATTGTTTACTGTGAGTTGTGTTATCTCGGTGAAATGCCTCAAAAATATTATCCCAGACTTTCGTATTAATTATCTCTATAATAAAACAATCATTACGAACATTATTATTTCGTGTTATCAGTGAACTTACAGTGTTATATTCGTTGTTTCAAATCGTGCTTACATAATGACCCTGTCCCAAACATATGATCCTTGTCAAAATAAAGCAGAAAGGTTTCGGTATCGCTATGTTTTGGATTAAAACGATAAGTAAATAAATGTGCTAAACTTCTTCCGCTTCTGAATCTGTCGTTTTTTGATCAGATACCAATTTCCATTTATCGTCTGCTTTATTAAATGAAATTAATCAAAATGTGATCAGTGTCTTTTGCGAAATATATTGCTCTTGTAATGACTTCAGAACAGAAAAATAATCGTCTGTTTTATTGAACGAAATTTTAACAAAATGTGATCTGTGTCTTTTGCAAAAGATATTGCTGTCGTGTAATGACTTCTGAACAGAAAAATATAATCAATAAACCGACTATCAAATTAGAAAATAGTGAAATAATAAAAACCAGTGATGAGCGTTTGGATAAATGTTGTGACTCGCCCGTTTTGTTGGCGGGAAATAAACAACAAATCTTGCCAAATAATAACCACGAAAATGATGTCAATAAGTTGACCATGGGAGGCCCGAAATCTCCTCGTATAGACATACCTAATGCACAGCAACGTAATATCCACCAACTGTCCGGTAATTCATTGGCCAGTGAAGACCGAAGTAGTGTATCAGAAGAAGGTAGTAGTGAAAATTTAGTTTATTTTGATTGGTCTTTATCTCAATCTAAAGACGATGGAAGTGGTAGTTTTCGCAATCAAGCTCAGCGACCAAAATCAGTGTCATTCCATACTGCTTCCAGTCTTCCTTTAGAAAATAAAATTTCTAATGGTAAGATTTGCTGAATATTGTAATTTATTCATATTTTAGTGGTCTTTGAAATCAAGCTTATAAATTCTGGGGAAGTTTAGAGCCTTTAATAAAATAATATAACATTTCTTTGCAGTCATTTTAGCTGTAAAAAGCATAATGTATTTAAAAGTAACTTCATTTAAACAGAGTTCGTCCTGTGAATAAAAAAAAGGGTGCACAGGAAGGGACGCTTCAAGATTTTTGAAAGGGCACTCAATTATCACCATTAAAATTTATCAAAATATGTAATATTGTGTAATAACTGAATTTGAGCCTCAATTTTTAAACTATCCTCTTATACTAATTTATGTGGATATTTCACAAAGCAATTCTCACTCATGATCAGAATAACAGAAAAATTTGGAAAATAACTACAGGCAAGGTAATGGACAATCTCTCTGAATGTAAATTTTCTTCAAAAAAAAGTGAACTAAAAAAAGGATTAATTGATATACAACTTTAAAGCTTTGTTTTTTTTATTTTAAATTGAAAATTATGAGAAAATAAACATTTAAAGGTGCATTTTCTTTAAATAAGAAGTAATCATTAAAATGAAATAATGGTTAAATTTAAAATCACTAAATGAATCATTCCCCCTACTAAACTATCACTAAATGAATACTTCCCCCCTAAATAAAAGAGGCGAATACCTCCAGGACCGAATATCATGCAATTTTTAACAATAAAAAAATTTACTGACAAATCTGAAAAAATCTGGACAGTAAAAAAATTTACTAAAAAGAAAGGAAATTAAAATTAAATAATTATTATTAAGTAAATAAATCATTAGTGGACTCTTCATTGAAACATGTGGTTAAGAAAACAACCTTTTCCTGAAAATAAAAATAAAAAAATACAGTACAGAACCCGTTATCCGGAAATCAGAAAACCAAAAAACCGGAGCAAAATTCGATAAATTTTCTCGCCATTTTTAAAAAAAAAAATTTTTTTCTTTCTTTTTTTAAAGATGTTTACCTTACCATCATTTTGGAAATAATCATTAGTGTATTACTTCATCGTTTTTTCTTATTTTTAAGATTATTTTGAAATTTTTTTTTTAGTTGGGTGTAACAATAAAAAAAACGGCTTTTTGTAGCGATTCAGAAAACCGGAAAAATCAGTTATCCGGAATAGCGATGGTCCCGACCGTTCCGGATAATCGTTTCCCTACTACATAAAGGTAGTGTTTTTTAAGGAATAGCCCCTTATTTTTAGTAAAAGGGCAAGGCTGGTGCATTTATAAGTATCAAAGTGCTGGCGGGGTTTGTCACCCTTCAAAAAGCGCTTAGGGAGAGCAATGACTTAAATTGGAGGGTGTAATAAAAGTTTGTTTTTTTAAATGAGTCCTGTTTGCATAATAAAATGCATAAATTTTTCTCAGGAACCTGTATTTATATTCTTTAGTGTCTAATAAACTTGTAGAACATTTATCTTCATTTTAAATAAAAATAAGAACTTTGAAGAATTTTTATTGTACTTATTAAATAAGAGCCTTCTTTCCGATCAAGCATAATAAATAGTTCATAAACTTAAATCAGCATTAAAAAAAAAGATATAGCTTGTCTCTAAACTCGTGTGCAAATTTATTATTTTTAATAAATCTGCTGTATTTTTTTTTTAAATATGGAATTTAAGTTGCAATTTATCATGTTGAAAAAATTATTAATTCAAGTGTAATTAAGTCAAGCAAAATGTAAATTCCAGTGATCTAGATTTTCTTCTTTTCCCTTTCAAAAATTTTTTTTCTTATTTTTGTAAAAAACTTAATTCAAATTTATTATGTATCTACAACAGCTCAAAAGTACTTACCTATTACTGACTGTTTCTTAACTTGTCAACTTCATATCAATAATATTGAATCTCCAATTTTACTCTTTTATAGATAGTAAAACTTGCTTGTTACCGAGTCCTAATTTAACTAGTTGATAACTGTTATGAGAAAATATTTAAAAATGGTTGATCAATGTTTAAAAATTACTTAAAACTCTTTTGTCATGAGCCTAACTTAAATTTTACAAGAAATTTTTTATAAACTTCCTAAAAATTGTTTTATTGAAGCTGTTAACAAAATCAGTATCTATCTGACTGTTCAAAAATTTTTACTTCCCTTCAGATGCACTTTAAACTCCTTTTAGTCAAATTACAATATATTTCTGAATATTATCACATTCGTGTCTTAGCTGAGAATATACTTTTTCTTTAAAAATTCACGCAAAATTTAGAAACCAATATTAAAAAAATGAGACAGTATCCTTGTGGCTAACTTGCAACTTCCCTTTTGGACAACTCATCCATCCTAGATAATTTGTTGCACTTTGTTCAGAAATAAAAACCCATTTAATGTCCTTATTCTTCTTACTTATGTATCCACCAGTGCTCTTTTGAAGCCTTTAAACTTACTAGTCCAGAGTGAAGTTAACAGCATTTCAACTTAGCAAAAAGCCAAGGTAATTCAGGTGGTAAGAGTTGAATCGTATGAATTGATGTTTTAAGTGAAATATTAAGTAATAAAAAAAACTTGTTAACAATTATTCCTTTCCAAATGTCATTTTTAGGTTTTTCATATTCAACTGCTATTTTATGTGCTTATATGTTTTTTATGTACTGTTTTGCAATATTTAGTGATCTCTTACTAATGCTCGACCAACAACAAGATATTTGTGGAGGTGTTGGCAGGAAATTTTGCAAAATTAACGGATCTAATTGAAAGCCCTCTAGCTTTTGAGCATTTTCATAAAATTCTTGGATGATGTTTGGAAATATACTGTAATCAAAGATTTTACCTAGATAGATCAAGATATATTAACTGCGTATAATTTGAATGAAATATTTTGATTAGTTTGAATAACAATGTGAGGTCCCCCATCTATCTAATAATGGATCCCACAGAAAATCTAATGAAAGAACAATAGTTATTTTACTATCATAAAAAATTTTCATAATAGCATAAAAAATATTTTTAGGAAAGGTAATTTATTTTTTCTACATTTCAAATGCAGTTAAAAAAACATGGAGAAACCCAGAAGGCATTTAAAGATCAAAAATTTGATTTGAAAATATGTGAGGAAGAATTTCTTGAACCATTACTATTCACATCCAAAGTCATGTAGTTTGCCAAGTAAATAGAAAATTTTCTAGAATCAAAACATGTTCAATATAGTTCATTTTGTATCATCAATGTTGTATGCAGGGGCGCCAGGATGGGAAGTTGTTGTGACCTCCCAAATATTTTCACTACTCGGAGAATTTTGCTTGGCTATCAGGCATACTCACAAAAAATAATTTTCTCTTATTTTATTTGGGAAAAACAAATAAATGAACAACGCATCTTACTTTGTTAAAATTTCTGATTTATTTGGAATAATTTAATTGTAAAGCTCTGAGGACTGGGGGGGGCAATAAATAACAGGGGGAGTAGCCTTTAATGTAATAAAAATTACCAGGACATAAAAATTGGGGTATTAACAAAATCTGAGAAATGATTAAGAAGCTCCCTAAAAAGGAACTGTGTCCAGGGGTCTGTCTAGGCCAAATTTACTACTGTTTAGCGGTACCTTCACAAATTCAACTTTAGGAAAAAGGGTAGTTTCACGAAATACTTTTTCTTAAAATTTTATTTTTGTATACCATGAGAAATGATAAATCCATGTTTTTACCATATTTTTATGTTGATTTTTTAACATAATTTTTCATTTTCACAAATTATGTCTAAATTTTCACAAAATGGGTACCTCTCAGAAAAACCTAGACAGATCCCTGGTGTCTGAATTTTCGGAATTTAGCAGTTGTAGGGAGCAGGAAGTGGAGTCCAATTGTTGATTGTAAAAGAAAATATTAAAAATTTTGCGTAGTTTGAAAATTATGTGTCCATTGAATTGATGGATTGCTTTTACAAAATCCTTTTGATGCTGCGAGAAAAGAAGTAACAATTAATTCAAGCTGCTAATTATCAATAGTGATTTTAAAATAATATTTTTTATTTCATATGTTTCTATACCGGTTTTATTTTATTTTATTGAATTATTATGTATATTAAATGGAACAAATAGGCATAAAGTCACGTTTACTATATTCATATCTACTATTGTTCACTCTTTAAATGGAACAGATAAGTATTTTTTTAAATAAGTTCAGAAAACTTTTCATTTATAAGGAATTTTTTTATTTATTTTTTAACTATTGAAACTATATTTTCATTTTAGACCAAGATTATCAGAATACCTAGTTTACATCTATCGGTATTCAATGAGATTTGCTGATTACTAAATCATTTGTAATTCGATTCATGGGATATTGAAAAATAATGTCTACATCTTAACTGCATTTCTAATTTTTTTTTACACTTCTTTATCATTAATATTATTTACTACCCTTCGTGTGCCAGGCAGGGGTTGAAGGAAAGTTAAAACTTTACAATGTAGTAATTGCTGATTGTGGTTTAGTTAGTTTTTTTTCCCTCTGCTTAAATAAATATCTTTAAATGATAAACCATTTTTTTAATTTTTGTACTTTATAGCTTTTATTGATTTATTTTTGCCTACTCTACTTTAACAAGCTGAGTGGCTGGGTGGCACAGTTGGTTTGTCCTCGGCCTTCTGAGCCCAAGTCTGCGGGTTCGATCCCCGGCCCAGACACCGGATTTTCGGGATGCAGAAAATCCTCAGCCGTCATGTCGTATGATTATGCGGCATGTAAAAGATCCCTGGAGTGCCTTATTGGCTCTTGGCATTTCCGGCAAAATTAAATTCCTAGTGCACTTTAGCATCCAAATAGAGTCTCGGTGCTGCCATCTAGTGTGGCAGAAACTAGACGTCCAAATTAACATGACCAACGGTATCTCACCCATTGTGGTGGTCCTGAAAGAGTGGATACCACCTCTGGAGAACGCACTAGGTCTGTTCATCGGCAAGACCGATTGTGCAGCTCATTGGAAATAAAAAAAACTAAAAAAAAAAACTTTAACAAGCTCCTTGATGTAATGAGCCATTTACATAGGTTTGTATGTTCTCTTTTTAAACCAGCTCAACTGTACTACGAAAAAAAGTTATGTGTCTAAAATAAAACATTTATTTAATTTTGAGCACAGCAAAAAATGCAAAATATAAATTTTGAAATTTAAAAATTCTCAAATAATTAATTATTAAATGTTATGAATTATTAAGGGATTGTGATATTTTTAATCACTTTTTTAACTATTCATTAATTGTGTATTTATTACATTTTCAGCTATTGATTGTGTAAAGTATATGGCCATTGGAAGCAGTTTAATCAAAGTTCGGCCCAGTGCTCGGCAGTATAGACGGTACTTTAGCCTGGAACTACATCCTGAAGATTATGCTCTCAAATGGGTACCTTCTTCCAAAAAATCTTCTAAAGCAAGAAGTAAAATATTTATTGAGTCTTTACTTTTTATTGTAAATAATTTATGTTTTTCAATTCAGATTTGCATGCTTTGTTAATCTCAATGATGCTATTTATTGATTGTAATTCGGTGAATTAAATAATATACATGAAGTTTTTTACAATTGTGTATCTGATAAAATACATTTTATCTTGAATTATAGAATTAATTTTTTATTTTATTTATTCTTGTAATCTCACATTAATTATTGATTATACTGCAGTACTCTAAGGAATAAAAAAAGGTATTCTGAAGAATAAAAATATAAATATTAAATTAAAGTTCCCATTTTCAAAGAATCATTCATCTTGTCTAGATAGGTAACTAAGGTTTCCAGCACTTAGGTACAGCTTTAGCTTTTGTGCTCCCACAAAATATTATATGTACAGAGCACAAAAAAAGTATCTCCCTGAATAACTTTGATCTAATGATCGAAATTTCACGTAGTAGGACTCAATCTTTACGGTTCGAGGGGTGATCTCAAATGTGCTAATTAATTAGTACAAATGAAATTTTAATCTACAAAATCAGACACAAAAATGTACTTTCTCTGAATAAACATACTTTTTTTCCCGGCTAATTTGGATTTCTAACCCTCAAAATATAAGGAGTAGCTGCAATCTGGGAAATATGGTTCCAATAGTTTGGTAAGAAGAGCAATCTAAAGTTTGACCTTCTAATGTTAATATTAGGGAGGTTGTTATACTCTGATCTAAATAAGTACCTAAAATCCCTTATTCAGTTTGATTTAATGACTTTTACTATGTCTGATTGCTTTGATCATTTATAAATTTCGTAATTTGGAAAAATTCGTCAAACATTATTTTCTTAAATAGCACCAACAAATTTTCATAGTATTTTTATTTCAAAAATTTGCAGCCTGTTTTGGATATATTTACTCAATGTCTTCAGTGTTTTCATCATAGAAAAAAAATGGGTGAGAATTTCTCACCCTTTCTCAAAAACAGGGTGAGATTTCTAAAAACTAAAAAAACACAAAAACTCTTGAAAAAAAATTATTTCTTTAATTATAATACATTTTTAACGTTTTCTATTTTTTAAAGCATTGAATATTTTTGGTGCATCATCATAGAAGATTTTGCCTTTACANTATTTGTCCATCTTACATTAACGAGCAAAAAATTTGAACGTCTTACATGAAGAAACCTTACCTACGGTAAACATGTGGTTGCTGAGAAATGTGTTCTGAAAAGGGTTCCGTGGTTGTGTTCTGTTGTTCGAAAAGGTGCTGAACAATACTGGTAAATAAAGAAGCTAGATAACGGGGCAGATGTTGAAAATAATGAAAGATCCAGGAAGAAAAGTGAAACGGATTTTATTCTAAATGGCGTAATTCGAAGCTTTTTCTATAATGCGAGAAATTAGTGAATTTTGAAATTTATTTATAGAATGTGCGAATTTCTCGCGGTAAAAATTTTTTAATGCAAGGAAAGAAAAAAATATGCGAGATTCTCGCACTGTAGTGAAAACACTAGTCTTACTTTCACTGCTTATTTTAATTTGATTTTAGAAATTCACTATTTCTACAAATTTGTAAAATTTACCCTCTAAACCTTTTTAATTTTGTGTGGCAGTTAGTTCAAGTTTATTCATTATTTAAAAATGTAATTTATAATTTTTACTGCCTTTTTTAATTGATTTTTAGTTTTGATTTTAGTCTTAAAGATTTTTCTTTTTTAGTTTTAGTTAGATCAATGAAAGAAGTCAGAATAGGCAGAACAACAGATGTTTTGAGAAGCAAGGAAATTTGCTGGACGTACTCAGAAGATTGTGCTTTTTCAATAATATATAATGACACTTTTGAATCATTAGATTTAATTGCATCATCTCCTGAGGAAGCTAATATATGGGTTACTGGGCTAAATCTACTTATAAATGCTACTAAATGTAAGATATTATACTATTTGTTATAAAAATATTTCTTTATTGGTAATATTTATGCTTCTCGTATGCCCTACAGTCAGCCGTTACCAAATGGTGTTCCGCAGAACTTAAGGTTTCTGTGGCAAAGTTACAAAAGGCTCTGTGATTTAGGACTTTTTTTTTAACTAGTAATGATTTTTTTAAACTTGTAATCGGTTTGTATCTAATCAATAATCCATTATTTATTTAATATTAAGGTTATTTTTATGAAATTATTTATGTAAAATTGCAATAAAATTGAAAAAGGAAATTTAAAAAAAAAAAAAAAAAATTCCAATAACAATGCTTGCTATGCTACAAATGCATTTGCTACAAATTACATTTACAAATCATTGCTCCTGTATTTCTCATCGAAATTAACCAAAATTCAAAATAAATTAACCAAATTTAAGAATAACATTTTTTTTTTCTGATACCCTTTCTTACAATTTATAAAAATTCATTTTCAAAAATAAGTCAACTTATTTTAATCAATTTCAATTTAAACTGCTTTAACTACTTAACTTATACTACAAAAAACGTGGCCTCTGCAGACTTGCAAATTCAAGTGGTTAACAGAAAACATAATTTTTAGACTTGTTGTCAAAACAATGAAAAAATTTCATGCACATTATATGTTTCTGAATTAAATTTTTATAATTTGCATACGTAGTTCCGCTAATGAATGTTTTTTTAAAGTCTGGGTTCCCCCAAAATAAGTTTGATTGTTTAGGGCTCTGTGACTGTAAAAAATTGGGAATCGCTACCCTACATATTTGAAAGCAATGGACTGTATTTTTTTTTTTTTTAAATTTTGATAATATTTGGTTTTATATTGATTATTATAGCAAGTAAAATTGCTAACTGTGACTGTAAAAAATTGAGAATCGCTACCCTACATATTTGAAAGCAATAGACTATTTTTTTTTTTTAAATTTTGATAATATTTGGTTTTATATTGATTATTATAGCAAGTAAAATTGCTAATTCTAAAAGTTTGCCTCCAGAATAAAAGAGATTAAATTCCATAATAATCAGTAAAAAATATCTATAATCTATTTTACATTTATTTTAAATCTATGCTCGGTGTTTTTATTTAGGGTGAAAGTGTGATTTTTAATCTAGGTTAAATAACTAATTAGGAAAATAATTTGAAAATGTACATTTAAATGTTTTTGTTTTGATTAATATGCAGTGAAATTTTTTAAACTACCTTTAAAACCAGAAAAAATTAGATAATTCAAACATTGGCTAAAAAAAATTAGGACATTTTAAATTTTTTTTCTGGAATTAGAAAAAGTCACTGGTTTAGAATAGTATCACCTAAGAAAGTAATTTGCTAATTTTAACGTGTCATTCATTATTTTTTTTAACCTACTTTTATATCTTCTAATATTTTATTGTTTTATTTAACACTTCAATTTCTTTTTTTTATTAACTAAAAAAAAGTCACTAAAGTTTAAGTAGCGCCATGTTTATTTGCTATTCATCTGTAATTTTCTTAAAATACAAACCAGAAAATTATGGAAACTTCATTCTATTGTTTGAAAAGTAGTCCTGTTCTAAAAGTGTGACTTTGGGAGGAAATAAATTTAGTATTTTATCTTTAATCTATAAATAATATTCTGTAACAACATGTGTTGTTTTCAAAAAATGGTTTTACGAACAGTAGCAAAAATTATTTTTAAAATAATCATGTTTTTTAAGCTATCATATTCAAAAGAGAATATTAGTACATTAACAAAAATAGACTTTATGGCCCTTAATTAGATGCCTGAAATAAATCACTGTTGAAAAAATATGTAACTGTTATGTCAGTTTATTATTTTATTGGATTTTTAAGTTATATATAGTGACTACATATAAAAATGTAAATCAGGAGGGAAAATATTGTCTATTTTGTATTCATTATTACTAAGATAAGTGACATATCATTAGTCACCTAACAATTTCATAAATGAGAATAATGTGGTTTCCATTGTGGGTTCTGTTTTATTTTGCTTTAATGTTTAATGATTTTTTTCACAAATTTTTAAATTTTATTTTTTTAATTTGCAGCTCCTGATTCCTTAGATGAAACTCAGAAGATGAGAGAAAAGTATCCTTTTTATTAAGCATTTTTCTTTTAAACAAATTTTAATTTCCAATTTTATGTTCTTTTATTGAGTTTATGCCTTAACACAAATATTTAGATGGCTAAGAGAAGTTTTTGATCAGGCGGATACTGATCAAAAAGGTGTTATCAGCAAGGGAGATGCCATATCATTAATGACCAGTATTAATAGTGCTTTGAGCACTGATCGCCTGCATCAAAAGTTCATGGTATTTACTCATTTTTAAATTATTTTTAAATGTGTATTTTTAAATTGATTAATTATAACAATGTATTCAAATCAGCAAAGCATTCTTTTAATGTCAGTGACATAAATTTATGTCTATAACTGAAAAGACATGAAATCAAAAGTTTAACTAAAAAATTTTATTTCTAAGCTTTTATGCTATTAAAGTAAATTTAGAAGAAACTAATGCTTTTTAAGTTCCAAGATGTTACTACATTTTACCAAGACATTTGTATGAAAAATGTTTGTAGTGTGTAGTTAAATTTTAAGATTGAAATATATTAAAAATTGCACCTTTCTTGTGAGCCTTTAATTGTTATTATTATTATTTTCAATCTAAGCAACATGCAATGCAAACATTATCCTAATGTCATAGAAAGACGAAATACGCATAAGAACAAAAAACACTAAAACAAAAATAAGCTAATAATACAGGAGTCATATTATTTAAATGTTTTCTAGCATCCCAATAGTGAACATCCCAATTTACAACCAATAGAACATCCCAATAGTCTAGCATCCCAATGAATTCACTAGTGAAATCAGTAGAAATGACCATAACACTCAGACAAAAAAAAGCCACATCAGTGCTTTTCTTACTTATCTTGATTACTAATTATATATGCATATTTATTTATTTATTTTGTACAGTTTCTCTAAATGTTGGTTAATTTTAAAAAATTTAAAAGTTTGTCTCATTTAGTTAAAAAAATCTTTTTAAATGATTAATTAGTAGAGAATTTTAAATCAAGTATATTAAACTTGAAAAAAGAGATAAAGGAAGATAACTTTAGAAGAAAATTTTCAAAATTTCGGAGTGAAATGGTGTAAAACTAAAGCTTTTGCCCACTTTATCATTGCAATGGATACAAATGAAAAAGAACTATTTTGAAATGACAAATTATGTGAACAAGACAGAAAAGTTATATTTTAAAAACATTTTTGGAAAACATTATTGATTAGTAAAAAAACTTGAAATTTTATGACAATTCAATTTGATAGGAGTTTGATCAAGGTAAACAAGGAGAAGATAGGGGTCGAATTGACCAAAGTGCATTTGTAAACCTCTTCACTGAAACATCAACAAGAAAGGAAATTAGTTTTTTATTAATTAGGTAAGTGAGTACTATTGCTTAATTGTTTATTTTGATAGCAAATTAATCTACGATTTCATTAATCATATTTTGTTTTTGTGATGTATTCTATCTCTTTCACAGTTTTACAATCCAAAACATTTGTATGCAACATACCTTTCAACAATGACAGAAAATTAATTATAAATAGTAGTTTGTAGTACTAAAGAAGCAAGGTCATTCTAATGGTCGAAAGATCAACATATTTTGCAGATTTTATGAACAGGGCAGTATAGTAAAAAATATATATATTTATTATACTACTAGTGAAGTAAACCCAATTGCAGAATTTCAAAATTGAATCTTCAGCACTATCTTTTTAAATCCAAATTTGCCTGCAACTTTAATGTTGAAAGTCAAAGATTATTAATAATGAAATTCAGCTTTATCTACCATACATGCAGTAAAATTTGAAAATATAGGTTCTTAAATTATTCATGAAAACTTAGTTGTTTAAATTTAAGTTGAACTTAATTGATTCTAAAAAAATAGAATGAACCCCTATAAAGCTAAGCCTGATAATCAACTATTAAAAGAAAAAGAATTCTTTTTTTTCTTTGGTGTTCTCCCAATTCAAATTTTTAATTTTTATTCAAAATAAGTTGAGAGATGCTTTAAAAAGGAGTATCAGCAATTTTCCCCCATCAGTTTTTTTATTTTTAAAGAACAGAAGTAAAACTTAGAGGAAAAATAATCTGCATATTCTGTAATAATAATCCACTACCATGCTATATATTTTGATGAGACTTGTCACTACTGAGTTAGAGATTGATCATTCTCTGGTTCAGGTCAAAATTACAATCTGTGGTTGAATGAATGAATGATGCCACTTAAAAGCAAGAAACGTGCCCTCTGCCTTTAATTTGCTTGGTTTCCCCTAGTAGGTTTGTTGGTATTGGCAAGTAGCATTAGAAACAACAACAACAAAAATATTTAATATCGAAACTCGTTACCTTAAATCATTTGTTAAAAAAATCAGTTTAGAAATAATCTGAAAAAATGCTACTGTATATTTTTCACCAACAGATGTTTGAATGTAGTAATATGTCTAAAAATAATATTTAAAAAAAATATTAAATAGTTCGTCTAAATACGAAAAGTGTTATTTTGAATCACATTTGTATGTAAATATTAAGTCTTTAATATTTCTTATTTTTACCATATACTTTGCTATCACTCATCCTAAAACAACTTTAACAATTATTTTCACTTTGCCAGGCTCCCTAGATGCTAAAACATAGTAGTCTAGTTTTTTTGTTTAAGTAATGTGCTCATAGATAGTCCAAAACTGCCTGATAATTCAACAGTGCTGAAACTGAAAACGTCCTAAGTTATTGAAAATAATGGTATCAAAGTACTCACAATAGTTTTAAAAAAATGTCAGTGTATCTTATTTATGTGACTGGACTTATCAAGTAAAATGAACATAATTTCATTTGTTTCCTTTAAAAAAAATTTAATTTTTGATAAAAGAAATTTATATCCTTTACAAATTATATAATGCTGATGTTTGCCACTTATAACTAACACTGGATGGGTATAAAAATTTGACATGATATGTTACTATAATGCCTTTATGTTTGGTTATGCTCATCTTCTTTTTTCTCATTTTCGTAAATGTTATGCGTTGACTTTGTAGAAAATTTCAGATTTTGCATTGGCAAGAGCAATAATATTCTTTATATTTGTTTATTTTTTAAAATCAAGGTATAAGCACGTATTTCAATCTCCTGTAGTTTGATTGGTTTTTGTTTGAATGAAAGAAAAGAATTTCAATTCTACACACATTAAAATTTCATGCATTTATCCATACATATTCTCGTTTTTTTTTCTGTTGCCGATGTTAAAAAAAAATTGCTTAAACTGGTTATGAGGTACAACTTAAGGCCTGATCTTCGAATTTCATATGTTGGGCCATTGTGGAGTAACATACTATCTTCTCTCTATGAATTAGTTTATTTTTAATTATTTAATACAATTATTTCATTATTATTGCTACTGTGAAGAAACAAATTCTTTGTTAACAAAAATGTCGGCTATTTTATTTTTGTCTCAATTAATTACAGAATGTGTAATTGAAAGCTTTGCAATCTTATTTTTATAGGTTTTCTGGTAAAGACTATTTAACACTTGAAGATCTTCATTTATTTCTTGAAGGAGAACAAGGAGTAAGTATTTAAAATGTCTGAATACTAAAATAGCAAAATTTCCTTCATAGTAAAAAAACACTGACAACTTTAAATACACAAGTGGGCGACCTTTGTGCTAAAATACGAACTAAGGTAGACAACGTTAAAGAGCACAAAAATATTATTAAAAGCAGACAGCTGTTTCAGATGCTCAAAGGGCAACCTTCATCAGTGCAACAGACCAGGGAACACAGATGACACTGACAACTTTATTTATCTTATATTTACATTATTTAATTGTATTTTCCCTCATCTGACACAGAATCATTTTCAATCTTTAAAAAAGCAATAAAATAAAGTATTTTAAGGACTTATTTTGCCAATTTTAAAATATTTCTAAATTTAATTTATTTATGCTGTTGTTTTATGACAAATATTCGCTACATCTGAGCTATATGTTAAGAAACATTTCAATTTCAATCAGGGTTGGATTTTTGACATCGAAATCTCGTTTTTGACCTATCAAAAATGTCAAAAAGCAGGAACAAGTTCCTTTTTCCTTATGGGGAACATTTTATTAAAATTTAAATCATGCACATTACTTGCATTATTGTTACTTCTATAATTATAAATCATGTTTATTTAGAGATATTTCTATTTGCGTTTTTTTATTTATATTTATAAATATTTATCTTTCAGATGATGAATGTTACTACTGACAAATGCTTAAAAATCATTGAGCAATATGAGCCATCTGAAGAAGCTCGTAAAAATAAGCAGATTCTAATTGATGGTTTGTGAAGCCTAATTTCTTTTTAATTATTCTTTGTAAAATTTATAACATTGTCGATATTTAGATTTATATATATTTATTGATGTATTATTATATCGATATTAATTTTTTTTTTTATATAGTGCTTATTATTTAAAACTAGTTTTATTATGATAATTGAATACAAATGGTGCGATCACTCCTGAATTGAGTATCTATTTAAAACTAGTTTATGATAATAAATACAGATTACACAATCACTCCTAAATTGGTATAGATGAGCAAAGTTTTAGACCTAATCGTAAAATACAAAATGAAAATCATACAGGGTTCCCATGGATCAGGGAGAGCAGGGAAAACCTGGAATTATTAGGGAATTTTATTTTTAACTCTAAAAAGCAGGGAAGTTGCAATTTTTTACAAAAAACCTGGAAAATTCCTATATTATACCTGGAAAATAACCAGTCTTAGAATTGTCAATAACAGTAATCAGTTATAAAGATTTGATTTAAATAATTCTAACATCTATTGCAATTATTTTTATAAAATTCTACCTTGAAACTTTTTCATTTTTCATTCTATTATATGTTTTTGCTCACAAAATTTGTTATTACAATTTGAAAAAATCAAAGTTTTCTGAAGAAAAATGGCATGGTATAGATAAAATATGGTATGGATTTTCATTAAAATTTTTCTGATATACCTGGAAAAGTCAGAGAATATTTTTCCAGGAATTGAGTGGGAACCCTGATCATAGATTTTACAGTCATTACCAAAACTGTCTTAGATTATCCAAAACTCGCCACATGACCAGATATTGTAGAAATTCTTTTAAGCAGTACTAAAAGAATGAGAAGCTAATAGCAAATTATACAAAAAAATTAGCATATTAGTTTAACCATAATCAAATGATGATTAATGTCCCTAAAATATATAAATGAAAAAATAATTAGTTTGAATCCTTTTGTCTTAATTTGTTCCTGTTAACCTGTAATTTCTGTGAACTGTGCTAAACAGGTAAAAAAATGGCAAAAATTTATTATTTGTAAAAATAAAAATTAAAAACACTGCATAATTAAATTGTACTACTTATGTTGTAATTTAATTACTACATAATAGCACATCTTACGTAATAGCACATCTACATAATAGCACATTTTTAGGATTTTATATTTTGCACATTAATTCCCACTTATCCTGTCCAAAACACTAACCCTGGTAGCGATAAAAAGAATTTTCAAGAAAAAATAAGATATTTAAAGATTAAGATATTTTATTTAAAAATTTACTTTATAAAACATCACTTAGACAAAGGTTTAAATGTGAGCTTAATATTGCATTACTATAACAGCAATTAAATGTAAAATCTGTTTAGCATATTCCATTTAATTGCCTTCAGACATGTAATTTACTTTCTTTGTTAGATGAAAAAGCCATAATAATTAAATTTTAAAAAAAAGCAATGGAAATTATCACTTTAATTCTTTCTATAAAACCAAAGCAGACACTTTCATCAATTTATCAAAAACCAATCAAAGAGTTTTGGATAATGAATATTTTACAGTACTTTATTGTCTTCCAAAGACATTTAAGCGATTTCAAAAATTCTTGTTAATTATAAGTGCAAAATAATTTTCTTATTTTTTAATATTTCTTTCGTGTATATTTTTATTTTGTGTTGTATTAACTTTAGTAATTTCATTCTTAAAATAAAAGTGCATAAACTTTTAATGAAATTTAAATATTTTGCATTATTCTCATATATCAGATTTTACATTTTTTTTCTTCGTTTGACTAGTGTGAAATAATTTGAATATTTTTTTAATTACATATTTTGGTTACATGTCCAGGTTTTTAATTTTATTTTACTTATTTTGTTGTATTGTATTTTATTATTTTTACTTTATTCTACTCTTGAGAATGAAATGCATAAAATTTATATATGCTTTAATATTTTTCTCTGAACTCTCAATGTTTGAAGTCATATTTTTTGTTTGTTATATTTTTGAAATTAAAATTAAAACATGCTTTTCTATATATTTTAGTGTTTTTCATAAATCATGACTAATTCCCCATTCTTTTTACATGTATTCATTCAGTTCATTTTAAATTTTATGTGCTTTTATATTTTTCATAAATTTTATTTTTATTTTTTTGTGCTTCTCTAGGTTTTACATTGTTCCTTTTATCTGATTACTGTGATATTTTTGATCCTATTCACCAAAGAGTTTGCCAAGAAATGACTCATCCGTTTCCCCATTATTTTATATCGTCATCTCACAATACGTAAGCTACCATTTTTTTCTTCTTCTTCATTATTTTTAGATTTTCATTTGTGAATATAATATCATTGAATATTTATTGTCATTTATTAAATCTTATCTTTTTTCAGGTATTTAGCATGGCTGTTAATATACCATTTCATATTAAATTTCCATGAACATCTTTTTAAATATATATTTTTATTTAAGAGATTAACAAATAGTTTTTTCGCAAATAATTAATACAGGAATGAATGTAATCTTTGAACTGTGGAATAACTCTACTTCAAACAAAAAGAAGAATTTTAAGAAAGTGTGTGGTTATCTTTTAATTAATATACTTTACTGTGTAACTTCCATAAATAGAAAATTTTTAATTTATAATGTATCATGCAAGGGTATGATAATTTTAACATTGCCTCCACATGATTAGAATGAAACATCTTTTTATAAGGATTTCAAATATTCAATGCCAATGAGATTTAAAAAATATCATTTGTTGATTTTAAAAAATTTAATAACATTTTTACCAATTATATTTCCTTATTTTTAATATTTCAGCTACCTTTTAGAAGATCAATTAAAGGGTCCCTCAAGCATAGAAGGCTACAGCTCTGCTCTTAAACTGGGTTGTCGCTGTTTAAAAGGTTTTTGTTGAAATTTATATTATTTATACAAATTTCATATGACAGTAGAATTCTATTTATTTAAATTAATCAGGATTATCTAGATAATTGCTTAACTAATTAAATTGATGCTAAGCAATTTTTTCATAGCATGGAAATAAAACTGAAGTTTATGGTAATGAAATTTATAACTTGTTAATTCAATGCCTATTCATCAATTTTCTTTTAAATATTTATACAGGTTTTTAAATCTATGTTAAAATACATTATAATCCTTATAAATTTCCTATTACTTTTTCATATTAGGTTATTGCTATATAGAAAGAGAGAATTTTTAGAGCATAAATATTGATTCTTCATCTTATATAAAAATTTTATTCTTGTTTCTTTTTATAAGAGAAAAGTTAATTATAAAATAAAGGTATTAAAATTAAAAGTAAAGGTATATAAAAGTTAGTTATCATATCTGGCCACATTTATCATGGTTATATTTTTTTTTATTCGAGCAATTTTTTGAATTTTGCACCTAATTTGTTTTCTATCCTGTATTTTCTGAAATAGTATTCTTTTCTAGTGGATTGCTGGGATGGACTGGAAGGGCCAGTGGTTTACCACGGAAACACATTGACATCAAAAATTCCACTTGAAGATGTATTGGATACCATCCTAGAATTCGCTTTTGTCACTTCTCCGTAAGTTCTTGTGCTCCCAGGGGCACACCCTTTTATGTAAAAAGGCTTGGCAAACCCTGGGCTAAATTCTTCTTCCCTTTTGTAAAGATCTTATAGTTGTTAATATTTATATAATTTTTTTAAACTGTTTTAATTTAAAGAAATGTTTTGTTATTTTTATTAAATGTTTCCAAACAGATATTTTTATCGATTTCTTATTTTCTTAAAACAAAAAAATATTTAAACAGTTATTTTAATAACTTAATCCTCTTTATGTTATATGTTTCTATTGAAAAAAATTTTTTTTTATGATTTTTCAAATATTTCTATGTGAGATATTATTGTAATGGAGAGAGACATTTTAATATTTATTTTTCTTTTAATTCTTACTGCTTCATCTCGAACAGTTTTGTGCTTCAATGAGATTCATTAATTATATTCTGAATCAAAATATATTAAAATAATAAAAGTGGTAATACTTTTGTGTGTTAACGCTTCAAAGGAATTTTATTATGTTTTATAACCGGCGTTAAATTGTCAAACCAATTCTGAATTTACAATTAGCAATGTTCATTTCCGTAGCCTTGTAATTTTGAACTCAACCCAGAAGACAAGGGAACTCTTCTATCAAGCATTGGGACAAACTAGCCTTCATGGAGGACTTTTTTATGAAACTGACCTGCATTTACATTACCATAAAAATCTCTAACGGCTAGCACTACAAAAATCTCTAACGGCAAGGGCATTCAAATCCAAGATTTGTCTATCACGGATACTAGATATTTTTACGTAAGCACTGTGGTCAGTGCAAGCCTGGAGCAAAATTAATACCAACTCTAAAATTTGGAGCTGGTCAATCATATTTGGGGGTGAATGCTCTATTCTCTGAGCCACCGCTACTCCATTAATGGGATTGAGTACTTACAAAGATTAAAAATCCCCAATCTAGAAAAAAAATCTTATATTTAGCTAGTCCTTAGGTTTCAGTAAAAGAAGACAGCCACCTACTTAGTGGCTTAATAATGTTGAATGGCACTTCAACAAAATTAGCGCTGAGTAGACAACAATGGTGGCTGCTGACTGGGACAGATGTAGCAAGTTAGGTTGTTGTGTCAAAAAAAAAAGCAAATGAACGTAATGACAACTATACATTATTAGAGGGTTGTGAGTATTGCTGCAGCAATAGCTGGAACTTACTGTCCAGACATGTATTGTGCATTATTTTTATTTATAATCTTTTATTGTTCTTTTTCCATTATACGTAACTTTCTTTATTTGTAATATATTAGAGTTTTGTTTTCTTAGGTATCCACTCATAATTCATCTAGAAAATCATTGCAATCTAGAGAATCAAGAAAAAGTCACATCACTATTTATAAAAGTTTTTGGGGACAATTTGTATATGCCAAGTAAAGATGGATCTTTCAAAATTTCCAGTATGTCTCCTGAGCATCTGAAAGGAAAAATTATTATAAAAGTATGAACTTTTTCCTTATTATTTGCTTTAATATTATTAGTATCCTCTCCTTCAACTCTGTTTATTATTTTTTTGCACATATTATTCTACTAGTTTTAGTTAATAATTAAGTTTTTCATAAGAGTTCAGTTTTAAAAGATTGCAATAAAATAAATGCAGAATTTAAAATTGATTTTATTCAGTGTAACATACTGTGACGAAGGATTATATTGAGAGAACATTCATTTCCTCGATATTGATTTGCCATACCATTTTGATCTAGACAATTCTCTCTCAAAACTTCCTGAATTTTGTACCATTTTCAGATTGTTTTTGCAATTAAGGCATTGTTCAAAGTGTAAGAGTGTGAAAATTACTAACAGTTTCTGTGTACTGCTATGTATTTTTTTAATTTTTTTTATTAAGAATATTCACAATCAAAATGTGTTGCTTAACTTTATACCAAAACAGCTATGTGTGAAATTTACCAGAGCCCTCTAATCTGATAAATAAAGAAAATATTTGGAACATTATATCCAATTTTCTAACAAATTAATCTCATAAGAATTAACTCTTTTTGTCTCGATGTGTGTCAAACGCCCGGCCAACTAGATTTTCCCAAGTTTTGACGGGCTTTTCTCCCCCCAAAAATGAAAAGTCATAAAAATAAGGTCGCTTCTGCAGAACCTTCTTTGATATTAGGGATTATCAATAAAATTAAGTTTCGTTGTAAGACTGGATAGTACTTTTCTTTAGTGCAGGGTTGCCACAGGCGACTATTTGCAACTATTTTTGACCTGAGGCAGCTATGGCAACTTTTTTTGCCTGAAAAGGCTAAAAAAGCAACTATTTTCAGGAAAAAGAGACTATTAGGAGACTTTTCTGTTCTCCTAGCAATGTTTTTTTAGCATAAATTAGGTTGACAACCTGCGGCCCGCAGTAGCTTCTGAACGTAATGATTTATTTTTCTTAAAAAATTAAAAATGGAATTGCAAATTTGAGTCATCACTTTTTAATGCACTCAATTTGCGCAAATTGTTTCTCAATCGCTTTTTCAACAGTTATTGCTATGAAATTCTGCATAATTTTAAAGAACCTCATTTTTAATACGATGTTATGATGAGTGAATTTCAAATTTTAGTAATCACTTTTCAATATATATTTGATAAAAGGGAAAATTAATAGAAAGAGTATGTTTTTTTTAACAAATTTTTTTTTCTGAATAAATTCTAGCATTTGAAAGTATTTAATTTTCTGCAAATATACTCATTTTTTTATATAAAAATTTAGTGCTAGAACACTAACTTTTATTTAAAAATTATCATATTGGCCATCAACTTGACTAAATGGATCATGGTATATTGCAATAAAGTCATTTAATAAAATTTTAGTTATATTATTGAAAAGTTTTTGTTCTTATTTAGGCAACTATTTTCATAATTTTAGATGACTTTTTTCATGCTTTAGGCTACTAGAAGCTACTATTTTGTTTATTTTTTTCTGTGGCAACCCTGTTAGTGTTTAGTTGGTAATTCTGATTTCAATCACCAAAAACTGGAACTGTATTTTTTCTATTTATAAAAAAAATTCAGAAAAGATTATTTATTCAAAGATTATTTAAAATAAAAATCTTTTTTGATACATTTGAGTAATGGTTAAAACAAAAGATTTTTTATTAAAAAGAGTATAAATAAAAGGAAAATAAAAAAAACAGAAAGCAACGATTTTTTTCAATACAACCCTCGTTCGTTCCTGAAAAGTCTTTGGTTTCAACTCCTTAGCACTTCCCATTGTCGGGGAGTTGATTATCGTAGCTTGCAGAAAAAAAGGGGAAGGAAGTTAGCGAACAAATTCTTGGATATTTCGGCAATCTAAGTGAGGTAGGGAATTTCAGATCCCAGGAACCAGAGAGTTAAAAGAGCTGGGATTTTATGAAATTCACTTTTAGTACTAATTTTTCAAAGAGAGTAACAAGTCAACAAAATTTTTATTACCTGAAATTAATTAACTTTTTTAGTATGTCAATTTTTTCAAGTATCTAAGATTCTTTTTACTTTTAGTTAAATATTTTATATGCTATTTTTTTTAAAAAAAATAAAAGCTTATTTTTTTGAGGAGTAGAAAACTAATTTACTTATGAGCTGTATTCAACCGTTACCATATAGATAACCGTTTCGACGATTCAAATAACCGTTTTCATATAGACAGGGCTGATTGTGTTTCGGAAAAATCCGGATTTTTCGCTAACAGTGATCCGGAAGTTTCCGGAGATCGAAGGTCCAGACGTTTAAAAAAATCATTGATCACAGAAGTTTCCGGAAATCAAATTTTCAAAGGTGGAACTTAAAAACACAGTTTATTTTATTTGTTTGTAAGGGAGAGCCAGAGAGATGCTTTATAAACTGATATTCATGATTAATATTCATTTTTTATCATTAAATAGTTGTTATAATCATAAACTCAAAAAAGAAAGACCTATTTGTAAATTTTAATTACTTCTCCAGGCCATCATAGGTATGTGTAAAATTTTAAATATATTTTAAGTAAACTAAGAAATATTGATAAAAATAAAAAAAACCTTGTTTACATTTTTGTTCAAATGTTTCAATTTAAACTGTTTTTTTTTTTTTTTTTTTTTTTTTTTTTTTTTTTTTTTAAACTTAGGAAATTTTCTGGAATTTTGACTTGGACTCACAATCACCCCTGATAGATGAAAACAATCTATGTTAATTCATTTGCTGATATGTAAACCTATTTCTATAATGATATAACTCTGCATGCCTATAATGAACTTGTTTACAGATACTATCTTAGCACACATGTTGTTAAGCAGTATTTTGTTAACTTGCTAATTTTTATTTATGAAGTAATTTATTGTCTATAAAACAATCACATTTTTACAGGGTAAAAAACTATCTCCAAACTTGTCTGAACCTGTTGGAGATGTATCTGATGAAGATGAATACCAAGAGTGTACCAGCAGTAAAGTATGTAAAAATATGTATCATAGTTTTAAATTTCAGTATATTAATGTCATTTTTAAACTTTCGTTACCTCTGTTAAATTTGTTATTTTTTTGTTTGCACATGGTTAGTTTTGTAATACTACCCATGTGCAAACAAGGTTTAGGTTTTAAGGTAAGGTTAGGTAAGTTTTTTTTAGGTTTTATTCCAGACTTTTTGTAAAGGGTCCTGTTTTTAAAAAGATTTACTCATAACTTTCTGAATTTGAAATTTCTGGTGAATAAGTTCGTTCAGTCAGTGGATATGTAAAAATAGGGCCTCATTTTTTGGGGGGTAAAAACCATGTCTTTCAGAGAGTTTTATTTTTAAAGTTATCAATTAAAGATGCCATCAAGTGCATTCTCGAAAGTAGTATATTTTGTAAGGAGTTGATTTCTTAAACAAAAAATATTGTGAAGAATTTGTAGGCAAGATAAAATATTTTGCGAAGGGTTTGTTTTTACAATAAAATAATTTAGGTGATGTTCAGTTTTAAGATAAAATATTTTGAGAGAGTCTATTTTAATGATAAATTGTTTTGTTGAATTTTTCTTTAAATGAGTTTATGTAGAGGTAATTCTGTTAATTGTTAAAAATATTTTAATTTATAAGAATATAGTGCTTACTAATACAAATTTAAAAATTCTCATTATTGCTTTTTAACAACATCAATTTAATAAAATTGATACTGTTAAAAAATCTCTTCATTAAGCTTATGCTACCATATTTAGTGTATTATTAATAAATATGGTGTAAAAAGTAAATTAGTTTAAAATTACATACATTTTTTCATCAAGTTCAGTAACACTCTTGAATGAAAGAAGCTATTTTTATTTAATATTTGAAAACTCTCTGAATAATTTAGCATCTTTATTTATGATAAAACTCATTAAAATAACTATTTTCATTTATAAAATTAAGTAGTATACTGTTCTGTTTTTGTCCTCACAGTACTAATTTTCAATCGATAAAATAAAATGTAATGCAAAAAATATAGTTTTTTTGCATTATCTTTTCTTGTGAACTAGCTTTCTTTTGTAAATTTAATTTTCAATATACTTACAAAAGATCATTTGTATATTCTTAATTTTTTATGATACATGGTAAAATGGGCAAATTAAAAAATAATCTTAATGGAGATCAATCTGAAATAAAAATTCAATCTGTTAATTTATATTTATGTCCGTCACTATATATTACTATTTGATGAGAGCTACTATGCTATTATAAATGAAAATTACTATATTGCTTTATCATTTCCAGAGTTATGATTAGGTATGTTTTTTTTTTTACATTGTTTTTGAAAAATTCTGGAATTCAAAAGATGTTTTAGTACTAGTTATAGTATTTTATAAATAATTACCAAAAGAGTTAATTTACCGAAAATTTGTCTTTAAATATGTTGTAACAAATCTACAAGTTTATTTTTTCTAAGATTAGCCTCTCTTTTTTTTTAGACTATGCTGAAAAAAATCAAGCTCTGTCGATCTTTATCTGATCTTGTCACTTTAACGCGAATACGATTTTGGGATATTGAACTACCTGAAGAAATACGTAAGTTTTAATATTAAAATTTCAATTTAATATTAAATTACTTTAAAGTGCCTTAAGTTACTTTAACCTTGTTGCCTTAAGCTTTAAACTTGCATGACTGTAAATGCAACATTATGCAGCATGTAAACGCAACATGACTGCAAACGCAAATGACTGTGAACGTCAAGATTCCAAATTCTTTTGTTGTGTTAAATTTCAAATTTTCATGATTATCAAAACTAAAACAAACACGTTGCTAAGCAGCCTATTCTCATATTTACATTTTGTTAAGCAGAAGTGCGGAAAAAAACATTTTTTTTCTTCTTAATTTTGCAGTAAATTGTACTTGGCAATTAATGGAGAAAATCTGATTTGAATGTCTTAAAAATTGAGAAGTTCCCCGCAATTCACCAGGTCTTGATCAGGGATTTTCTGCAAATTTTATTTTGGTAGTATAGCAAATTTCACAACCCTATAATAACCTATAATGAAATTTGTGAAACCACCTTAGTTTAGTTTTAAGCTTTTTTTTAAAAGTACATTTACTTGGAAAATTGCTTAAGACTTTTTAAATTCTTAAGATATTCAAATCAGTTTTTTTTCAATTAGTTGCCAAATATGATTCACTGTAAAATTATGAAGGAAAAAAATAATTTACATTTTTTCTTGCACATGCTCTTTAAAAATAAACTACTTAAAATAATCATACTTTGCCTAGTTTTTAACAAATTTTATTCAAATTGTTTTGGAGTAATTTGAAATTAATAATTTGGTAATTAATTTTAAAGTACTCCGAAAAAATTGTTTTAATGAATATTTTTAAAGTTATATCAACAAAAAAGAACATAAGACAAAAAAAATTAGTTTTTTATAAAAATGTCCTTATCTCCATAAGCTTGGTTTAAAAAATTTTTTGCCATTATTGATATAATATAACATTGATATAGTAAGTAAAGTAATTGATACAAGTTACAAGCTTATTGCTTGATTTTCTGGCATATGGTGTTCAAAAAGACTTTTTTTTTTTTTTTGATGATTTCCTGTCGGTTCTCAAACCTTTGAAAGATTCTAACCTGATTGCTAGGAATGAAAAATCCCATTAGCTAAACATCTCTACAGTTACAAAATATTCCTCTTAGTATTTCTTGAGAAAGTTTAAAAAATGTCAAAAACTGAAAGTGTCTTCCATTATTGTAGGGAAGGTATTTTCTAATAATGTGTTACGATTTTTTATTATTTCTATTAATCTATTCTAATTTTAAAAAAACTTTTTTGAAAAATACTTTGCCGAATATTTGGCCAAACATTCGGCCAACTAAATATTCGGCAAAAAGGCTGAATTTCAAATAGTGACCGAATATTTGTTATAGCCCTATTCAGAATATCCCATTTGGTAAGAATAGAAATATGGAATTTTAAAAAATAGATTTAAAGAATTAATTTTTGCTAAAAACATCTTTTATTTTAATTAACTATCTAATTAATTAAATAAAATATCTTTTTATTTAATTGAAATTGCAAAATTTGGTAGTTCCTATTCATGGAATGTCTTCTGATTATATAATTGGTTCAGCTATATGGTCTTATCCACAGAATTCATTGTTTCAACCTTTTCATATTAACCCTAATCATATCAGAGAATTTTTAAATAATAAATTGAGGAATCGTCCATTTAAATAATTTTTGTAAAAAAAATGATCAGTAGCATATTCACCATGTTTTTATTTTGAGATTATTAAAGCCCTACTTTAAAATTATCTGATTCAGGGAATCTTGATCTCAATTATAAATATTAATTATATATTGGTATGAGGAAATATGAACTAATTGATATGGATATTTTTTCAATGCAACAGTACTATAGAATTTTTTCATGCATTGATTTCAAAACTGTTATGAGTTGTTCGATCTTAATATATTTGAAACTTTGAAAAGCTGTTGAAAAGAATGTATTTCAAGGGAACAGGAACCAGGGTTCGTTGATTTAAATCAGCTTGATTTAAATAACGATTTAAATCATGATTTCAATCAAATGATTTTTTTTTAAAAATCATTGATTTAAATCAACTAAATTTTTTTTATCTATATATATTGATTTTAAAAGTTAAAAGACAGTGTTTTAAATTTTTGATACTTCTATTATTTTCTTTTCTTAGTATTAAAATTTAATTTAAATAAATTGCTGCATTAATTAATTTTAGTTAACGAAATTACTTTCTTGGTGTGTGTTAAATTCCAACACATTTCAAATTACATTTTTAAAAATCTTTTGATTCTTGAGATTAAAAGTACAGATTAAAGTAAACATTTAATGCTGTCTTAATATAGACTTGCATAGCTGTAGAAAGTAATTAATAAACATGAATTTTTTTCAAAAAATAATACAAATAATGTTAATTAAAATTCTACCTTTTGAATGAAAAAGCGTGAATTAAAATCTACATCATATTTTATTGGTGGAAAATGTATATTTCTGAAGCTTGAGGTTATATTAAAAAGAAATTACCCTAATATGCCAAAAACAGAAAAAGAAAAAAAAAGGGCTGATGAATTCAGATGTTTTTTTCCTTATATAGTGTCATTCTTCCTTTTCAAAGTCTATTTGATGCAGTAGGGTTATTAACTGGTATTTTTTTCTCATAATATGTTTACAGTATCTTTGACATTATCTGATTTTCTATAAAGAAATTTTGTGAAAAAAAATTCCAATGAGTACATAGATTTTCTAATTTTTTTTAACTTAAATTATCTATTTTGATATAGAATTAAAAGTGAATATTTTAATATAAAAATATATAGATTAAATATTTATTTATTTTTTGATGAATGACTACATTTATAAACACAATCTGCTACATTTATTTTGTCATTTTAAAAATCAAGAGGAAAAAAAAGAAATCACAATTTTAAATTAAAGTTATGATTTGGTAATTGAAACTTTATTTTAATAGTTTAAGTATTCTTTAAATTCTCTATTTCATCTAGTCTTTAAATTTCAATCATGCATTTGTTTCAAAATGGTTGCTATGCATTCAAAGCCATGTATTATAATGAAAAATTATTTTAGTTAGAGCTTCTAAAATATTGTTACAATATAGTTTTAATATTAAGTTAATTTGATTAAACATTTATAATTTTTTTTAATCATAAATTAAAGTTCTTACAGTGTATTTGAATAAAAATCAAAAAAATCTGATTTAAATCAAAAAAATCCGATTTAAATCAAAAAAATCTGATTCTTTTGATTTTTTTTAAAAAAATCAAAAAAATCAGGAACCCTGACAGGAACTGCCCCCCCCCCTCTCACACAACCACTCTTCCACAAGATCCAATTTTCCACATCATTGATTTGTCAAAACTTAGAAAGCCTCAAAATGTAACAGGTGGTGATCTGATCCTCAGTTTTGTGACAAATGGACTAAAACCATTCTTCCTCCTAGATCTTCAAATGTAAATTGACAAAAAAAATTTAAATTCTCAAAATTAGTTTAACATTCATTACTGCAGAGAATTTATTTCACAAATTTTAAGAACTGATTTCAGAAACCTATAGTTTTAAATTTAAGTGAAGGTAGGAAGGTTATAAAAAAATACTAGTTTAATGAGTTGTCAGCTTTTATATCGATTTTAATACTTTGTTTATTCTTATTAATGTTTAAAGGAATTTTTTTATGAAATTTTCATTTTAGAACGGCTGGCAGATGTTTCTTCCTTTTCTGAAAACATGGCTTCTAAGCTGGCTCAGTGCTCGGCCGAAGAGATGGTGAACCACAACAAACGGTACCTCACTCATGTCTTTCCAAACAGTAACCGTGTGGATAGCAGTAACTATAATCCTTTAGAGTTTTGGAGCGTTGGTTGTCAGTTAGGTATGTCGAATTTGGAACTGTTTCTTTTTTGTGAAGAACTGTAAGAATAGTTTGAACTTATTGCTAATGATATTTTCCAGCTGCAATCCTACATTTCAGTCCACATTTTCATACTTTTCAAAACTTAGAATTTAATTGAAAGGAATTAAATTTAATGATATAAAACAGGGTGTTGGATTGAGTTTCATATTATATTATTGAAAAATAGAGTGTCAGATATAAGAATTTTTTTGAATTATTTATATGGTTTTTAAATTTACAGGGTATCCGCACACCTGGAAAGTCATGAATTTCGGTATTGAGAAAAATTTGTAATGATTTTAGCTATTTTTTTAAAAAAATCATGGAAAGTCATAGATTTATGTCGCCGAAAAATCAAATTTTTAAAATGTAATCCCCCCTCATTTTCACAGTGTTCCGAATATTTAAATTTGTTAAAAATCCCCACTCACAGTCATATTTTATTAAAATATAAAATGTTTTTATCATGTTCTTTAAAAATTATTGTGTTCTTTCAAAAAATTAAAGAAAAAACAATTCTAGAGGGAATTAACTTTAAACTTCTGAGATTTCAGAATTTTTATTATTATTTAATTTTTTTATTTTATCAATTTAAAATTCTAGCTGATGCTAGCCAGTCATTGGCAAATTTTTTTAATTCCGAAATAAGAACAGAAGTATTTCTTTCCTTTCTGATGAACAAGAAAAGTATGTTTAGAATATAATTCTGCAGTAAAAAAGAAGAAGAAAAATTTTTGCTTTTATATTTTTTCAGCTATTTTATTGCTTCAACTCTTTCTTTACTCTGTTTTTTGAATTTAAAATCTATAAATATTAAGATGCAGAGTATAAAAGTTTTGGTTATACCTATGATTTCAATCAATGTTTTTATAATGCTTTTTTAAATTTATTGTTGTGTTTTTGTCAGAGAAAATAGTAACTTTGTTAAATTATAAAAAATTCTTGGAATTTGTCATGAAAAGTCATGGATTTGAAAATCTAAAATTTAACAGATACCTGAATTTACATTTTGGCTATATAACAAATGAATTAGGAATTTAGATCGAAGTTAACTCAAGGGATTCACTTTAAATATACTAATCTTAAATTAGCTTTGCCTAATTGTTAATTGGAATAATTTCCAATTTGACTTGTAAATTTTCTTCTCACCAGATCTTTGATATTATGCATTATTATGAAGTTCCATTCTTAGTTTTTAGAATGGAGTGTAATTTTCAGCTCAGAAGATCTTTGATATTACGTATTATTATGAAGTTCCATTCTTAGTTTTTAGAATAGATTGTAATAAGCCACATTTAAAAATTATGTTGAAGGACATTTTTTCAGAATAATTTTGGTGAAAAATGCCGCGAGTTCCATATTGGCAGTATTACTCGTATATGCTGAGTATTGTGCTGCTCTCAGTTAAAAATTTCCATCTGGAAACAATGCAAAGGAACAGCTTGATGTAAGAATACCTTTTTCATAAAAAGTGTGGCCTTTCACTATATTGCCCCTTACCCTGTAACTGGTAAGCCCTACTAACAAATACCTCTATAATTTGGCATTAAGGAAAAACTCACTGTTAATAGAAAGGCAATGAATGGAAAGTTAATCAAAGTGGACTTTAGGGAGTTAAAAATATTCCAATCATATGGGTTTTAAAGTAGTTGGAGATGCTTAAAAGAAGATTTCAGAATATGATTTTAAAAAAATTAACTATCTTACTCAAACATAAATTACATTTTTAAATTTTTTTTTGTCTAAGCACATTATTATTTACCATTTTTTTAAAAATCTATTAATCTGAAAGCTTTATATAGTTCAAATCAGGCAAAATTTGAATTTTGTGCCATTTATGCAATAAAATGTTGTTTACTATGAAAAAAAAAGACTGGAATATTAGAAAAAGAGTGCATCGTGATAGAAAAATGCATTTACATTGTTAAGCAATGCTGAGTCATTCCTGGGGTATATAATTTACCATTTAGGGATTTGGAGCAAGAGAAATGTGATGTGATTGCAAAGCCCCTTCCCTTTGCCCTTGTTTATATATATTACTTTATGCTCATAACTATGTACAGAAACTCGCAACTTTTCATAAAATCTACATTTTCTGCAAAAATTACTTTTTGCATGATTTTTGCAGCACCCTGTATCTTGTATAATCAAATCAACTTATATTTTGTGAGTAAATAACCATACATGTGATTTAAATATTAATTTGCTACATGCACGTTTTTTTTATAAAAATTAAAAAATTTATTTTATTTTAAAAAATATTTATTGTGGATTATAATTATCCTTTTTCATATTTCAGTTGCTATGAATTATCAGACTGCTGGACTTATGATGGATATTTACCAGGGTTGGTTTCTTCAGAATGGAAATTGTGGGTATACCCTCAAACCTTCTTTTCTTCGGAACAATATGTGCTTGTATTCAGGTGGATGTTCCAAAGACCCACTCCCTGGTGTTGAACCAACAGTTCTTTCTCTCAAAGTAAATTTTTAAAACTTACTTTTCTTTTTCAATCGTTATTTTACTAAAAACATTGTATTTCAATTGGTTTCAGTAGTACATACAAAATGTCTGTTATAATTGTTCTCTATGCTGTACAATTATATAACAATGTAAATCAAATCTGTCAAGTAGAGTGATTTCTCTTTCATTCAAATCAAACCCTCCAAAAGGTTTCTTTTTGTAGGACATGTTCCTCAAAAAATATTAAAATTAAAAGAATTAGCTGGTATGATCATATATTGCCAGAACAGATGGGAAAAAAATCCAGTTAAGAAGATTTTTGTTTCATAGCTCTTTACTAGTCAGAAAAGTGTAAGGCCAAAACAATGATGATTTGATTCTTTGGAATCAGACTTTAAAGTGATTGGGGCAAGAAACTGAAAGTTCAGATGCAAAAATAGGTTGTTTTGGTAGAATGTTCAACAGAAGAATTTATCAAACACAGTGATGATGTTCTTCAAAACTCTTTCAACTAAGCTTGAATTAATTCTTTCTTTTTTTAAAAAAAAAAATACAAAATTATGTAAATTTTGCTCTAAATTGTAAAAATTTTTAGCAAATGAGCAAAAAGTAGAAAGTGGTAGCTATAGCTGAGTTTTTATCATTGAATAAACTCTTTGGACTGATTAAAAAAACATTCAACTTATAATTATAAATTGCAAAACCTTAGCAACTATGATGGTTCAAACCAGTCGCTCTAAATTGTTCCAAAAATATGACATCCGTGAAAGAATTTTGTTCATTGCATCAATTTGACCAAATTGATCCAATTATTTCCAAAATCAATGAAAATTTCTACTTCAGGCTGTTCCAAAATGTCAAACATCAAACCTCATCACTGAGAATATAATAATGTAGAAATATATATAACATCCCTATATTTCTATATTTAAGTGAATATATATATCCTACATATATATATCCAAGCACACATTTTTTCTTCAAAAACCAAGACCCATGTAACTAGTTTGCTCAATGTTAGTTTACTACAAATTCCTTATATAAATCACGTGTTTAGTTTGTGTATAGTCTTCTGATATATTTTTTTTTCATTTCGGCATAGTTTGTTTTATTGGTGTAAAGGCCTCTTTCAATTTACATTAAAAGTTGTTAAATTTAGTTTTTAAAATTAAATGTTACAAGGGTTTATGATTCAAATTTAAATTCGTATTTTTTTATATTGCATGCAATTAAATTACATTATAAGAATAATTTGTAATGTCGATTATTTTTTATTTTATTTTATGCATTTATTTTGCTGTTTAGATTATAAGCGCTCAACAACTTCCCCAACCAAAAGGTGCATCAGCTAAAGCCACATCAATAGACCCTTATGTTGTCGTCCAAATTCACGGAATGGCTGTTGATTGCGCAGAAGTTCGAACTAGGACTCATGAAGGTTAAATGTTACTTGCTTCACTTTGAAGTTATTTATTTTTATGTGTGATATAGTATTTACTTAAAAATTTTCATTTTATAGGTCATTCTCCTGTTTTCAATGAAAGTTTCGAATTTACAGTTACAGTTCCTGAACTAGCACTATTGAGGATAGCGGTTTTGGATGATGAATTTATCGGGGATGATTTTATTGGTCAATATAGTATTCCTCTAACTTGCTTAAGGAAAGGTATGTGGATGTTTGTTTTAAAAACAGTGTTTATTATATCAGTGACTCTTCTAAATTGCTTTGGATAGTATTTTTACTCTTTACTTATTAGCTAATACCATTAGTCACTTGTCAGGTTAAAGTTGAGGACAAAAGTGTTCAAGTAAAAACCTTAAAAGGCAAGAAAATGTTTTCAGCAAAATACGACTCGACTTTCGAAAATGAGTTTGTATATCATTTAGATACCTGGATGAGTTTATTTTATTCGATTACATTATTTGTAAACAAATTTTAAAAGTTAATATAAAGTTTGTATATTTAAAGGATTATTAATGCACAACAGCTTGTTTAGAGTTAGAAAGGAAAATTACATTATTAATTGAACTTATTATTAATAGGAATCAAGTTTGATTCTTAGACACGACAAACCCAATATTGGAAGGAAATGATACTGAATTAATTCTGAAATGGAATATTATTATTTACGATGAACAGGAATTAGAACATCATAGTCACGATTTATATATTTTTTTCAGGGAATATAATTACTATGTCTGCATGAAATTATCTTATATCTAGCTCAAATTATATCTGAAATAGCTCTTGATCAATCTGCTACCTGTTTTCATTGTTCCATATTACAACTCCATCAAGATTTATTTTAATATTCTTTTTGTATATAATTCTGTACAAGACTTCAGCAAAAAATTAAAAACATTTTGCTCAGTTTTCTGTATTTTAGGTAGTCTTACCACATTTTCAAAAAGTGCTACCATAGGGAATCTTAAAACTTTCCCAGCAACGATTTCACCTTAGCCCCAGTTGAGCTAATAATTGGCTCAATATGGGTAACTATATAAACATGCACCAAGGGACCAATATTGGGATGTCTAGATTTTTTAATATTGGTCCTATATGGATCCAATATCAGCCTGTAAAGAACCAATATAAAGCATATATTGGCGGAATAATACATATAAAATATTGGGTGAATCTGATAGTTCTATATAAGGCCGTTATTGGTTGTAAAATATCGGGCGAATCGGACGTTTCTATATAAGGTCAATATCGGAGAAATAACGACCCTTTGAAGCCTTATTGAGCCAAGATTCGTCAATATTGGTCCAATGAGGGCCCAAATTATTTTGCTGCTAGGGTTATGTCATTAAACTCTACACCCTATATTATATACTCAGATTGTGGGGATAGTAGTTATCAACAATGTCAACCTTCCTCTAAGAAAAGGTACCCCAACATAGAATATAGTTAATATGTCTTATATACTGGTGAATTAGAATTGTATTTTTGTTGTGATAGACACACTACTGTACTCCCCTACCAGTATTATATCTGTGATGGAATTTGATGAACAGATACCACTTGTTGTTTCATTGATGTTTTGTGAGAAGCCGGGAGAGCTGTATTAAGATCACCGTACTTTTGAGTGCTGATTGTGAGAGCTGTATTAAGTTCACTTCACGGTCGTGGTTGCTCCAGTGTTGCCATTAGCAGTCGAGTGAATATGTTGTGTGTGATCAAGAGTGAGTAGCAACAGCGCGAGGCGGTGGATAATGTCACAGTTACAAGTAGCAAGTCAACTGTTCAATGTGTATCATCCATCGAAGTAGGCATGTACAGATTGAAGTGAGCGTAACTGTCAAGTTAGGCATGTTCATATCGAAGTGGAAGTTTCTGTCAAGGTAGGCATGTTCACATCACGTCCAGGTCACCAATGTGGAGAGAGTAGTTATCAACAATGTCAACCTTTATTTATGAACAGGTTCCCCAACATAAAATCGAGTTAACATGTCTTATATACAGTACAGAACCCGTTATCCGGAAATCAGAAAACCGGAAAACCAAAAAACCGGAACGAAATTTGGTAAATTTTCCAGCCATTTTTTTTTTTAAATGTTTTTTTCCTCATAAGATTTTAGGATTTTTCTTTCTTTTTTGAAAGATGTTTACCTTACCATCATTTTGGAAATAATCATTAGTGTATTACTTCATCGTTTTTTCTTCTTTTTAAGATTATTTCCAAATATTTTTTTTTAAGTTGGGTTTAACAATAAAAGAAACAGCTTTTCGTAGCGATTCAGAAAACCGGAAAAATCAGTTATCCGGAATAGCGATGGTCCCGATCGTTCCGGATAATCGGTTCCCTACTGTACTAGTGAATTGAAATTGTATTTTTGTAGTGGTAGACACACTACATAGATATTTCTTCGTTAAGTATATTATATTATTATTTCAAATTTTTTTGTTTAAGTTTGTTACAAAGTACTAGTCATAAGTTGAGGTTCGTGTTGGTATGGGGCAAAGCATATCACAGTAGAAAATATTTTGATAGTAAAATAGCTACAAACATTTAATCTATTAATTATATGCATTGTAACAGCATAAAATAGGAAAAGAAAATAAAACAATTAAGTTGATTTCATTATCTATGTCTCCTCCGTGATCCATTGTCCAAGTGACGACACAATCACCGTGGATGTATATATTTGGGTTATTTCCATAAAGTTGCGCTTTTAGCGTTCAATGTGAGCATTGGTTTCTTTTTATATTTTTAACAGTTCTATCGTGCTATCGAGAATTGATTTTTCTAAAAATAAAAAATAATAGTTTTTATTCCTATGTTGTATTTCATCTGTTGAAAAACGTTGTTACAGCTGTTCTAAATAAAGCTACTCTTAAATCAATAAATAAATAAAGATTTATTTTGTAATATGTATTATTCCCCCTTCCATAATGATACCTGGATTCTGTCTCTCTAAATAACAGTTACTGTTCAAAGAAACTGTTCCAGCTGTACTGCTTAGACAAATTTGTCTGACTCTTTTTCTTTAATTCATTATTGGTTTTATAAATGCTTGAAATTGTAGTTTGTAGCCAATTAATTTGTTTTTAAAATAACTGCTTTATAAGTATATATATATATATAAAATTCTCATATCTAGTTATCAATATTAAGTTGGTCATCTATAACTAAATGTTCTTTTTTTACCATTTGCATAGATGTTTAAATTGGTATTTTTTTTCTCTTTTTTAAATTTTCTAGGCTATCGTCATTTAAGGCTTCTATCCAACAATGGGGATCCTTTGTACAATACTACAGTTTTTGTGTACATAAACATGACTACCAGATCTGAGAAGCAGGTATATTTGCTTTGTTTTGAAATTTTTTTGTGAGTGTTTTGGGCTTTAAAAAAATTTTAATGGCAAATTCAAGTTATTTAAGCATTTTTTACCTTTCAATGCATTTAATAAATTTTATTTTTAGTTTTTATCATTAAGAAAATATGACTCTTATTTTATTCTATTTTTAATAAACTATAAACACACATTTCTATCTTCTTTCTTATGTTTATTTTATCAATTAAGACAGTATTTGATTTGTAGAAACATATAATAAACATTATCGATGAAATTACTATTAATTTCAATAAAACTTACAAAGTTTACTTTCTGAATAAATATTAAAATTCTTTTTTGTGAAAGTTTATTTTTTTCTTGTTATATTTAGACAGCGCTATTCCTGAAACTTTGGAGGTACATTTTTCACATGCAGAATGTAAATTGTTAAAGTTTATCCTGTGAATGTCATTGTGAATTTGCTTATGGGTTGTGAATTTGATTCAAACGTTATCTTGCTTAATTTGGTGATATATTTGTTAAATCAATTCAAATGTGTGACCAAAAGATGATGAATGTATATCACCACTTGAAAGAATAAGTTTATTTGCTCAAAAAAATTTTTACCCTTTACAGAATAACACTTGTGTATTTTTATCATTAGTTGCTGTTGTATGTTTTTTATATTTCAAATACCTCACCATTGCTTTCAAACGATATAATTAAAATATAAAACTTTTTTTCTAGAGAAATAAAAGGAAAAAGCCTTGGCTGAATATGAAATTTGTTGGTATCAAACAACCTGATGATGTGTTTAAGGTATACAAGAATTACATTTATTTTAAAATAACTGTTATAAAAAATATGTTTAGACATAGATAAGAATGTTGTAATTTGGTCCGGTTTTAAGTTTTATGCAAAAAAATAGGAATTTTGTGGAAAATTCATATTACATTTGTGTATTAATGTAATTTTTTGTAAATAATTTCTTTAATACACTTTAGATTAAAAAAGAAAATGAGAAAATTGTTCCAAAGTGCAACATAATGCACATAATATTGTACCTAGAGCCATAATTTATTCTACCTTGGACTATTGAATGTTATTCCTCAGATAATACTTCAGAGGTGGTTGTGCTGCGGAAAAAGTCCGGATTTTTCCCTAATTGCGCTCCGTAAGTTTCCGGAAATCCTAGGTCCAGAGTTCCAAAAAATCATCAATCACATTTATGTATAAAAATTCTTGTATATTTTATTTAAAAATATTAGAACTAGAATTTATATTTTGACCATATATCTTTCATTTGTAAATGTTTTTTCTGATAGAATAATAAATGTGATTAAAGATAAAAGTAAACTTATTCATAATTATTCATTTAAATTATGCTGTATATAATTTATTTAGAATTTAATGTTCTGGAAATATCAATGATTTGTATTTGTAAAGACATTAATCTTTTGAAATGAGTCATAAATGATTTTACTCAAGAAATTTTCAGGATTTTTTAGTTGGACTCTCAATCGCCCCCGATACTTCTTCTCTTTTAGACTTTTTATTTTTCTGAATTTTGATATTCATGCAATTAAAACTTAGTTTTCAAGCTGAAATATATCAAATTATCATTAACATAATAGTACTTAATATTTTGTTAGGATATTTCAATCCACACGGAAATGTATTTATGCTAACTGTACCTGTGGCATATACATTGGACAAATTTCTATTTCACCTATTGTATGACAATTTGCAGTCTATTTATTTATTTTTTAACAGTAAAATTGAAATAATAAACTAACAAAAAGGTTGTGATTGTCGAAAAAAATTTACAAATGGTTTTGCCAATCAAAAATTTTATACCAAAATATATTTAACCTAATTCATTTTTCTTCAATCTAAGCATTATTTTCTGTATTTTTCAATTATATGTCAAACTACATTTATTCTCAATTATGTTACTTAATTCCAGAATGCTAGCAATCACCTAGCTGAAGCCTATAAAATGCGAATTGATGAAGAGCAAGCCACTCTAGACCTTTGCAAAGAATGTGGCTTATCAGATAGTGCAAATATTGTTCAGTGTTTACGAGTACTATCATTGCGCATGGCTAGCTGCACTGCAATTACCAGTTGGGAGATTGAAAATATCAGCAATGTAAGCCTTTTCAGTTTGCAACATATATTTTTTATTTGCCTTTTTTAGTTTCTAATTAATACTGCACTATTTTTTTAAGAATTTGATTGAAATTATAAACAAATTGTGCCACCTGTTTTTGATGAATAGCCTTTTTTTTATTCGCAACTTTTACTTTTTAAAACTGTTAAGTTATTCTATATATGGATTTTTTTTAAATAAAAAGTAAACCCAAATAAATGCACTCTCTTGTTTCAAATAAATGCCATTTCAGCTTGTAGAAATATGTTGTAGGCTAATTGGAAAATTTGACGCTTTACAAACTACTGACCTCATGGTTATTACAGTGAGCCTAATCAAAGTATTGTTAAGTGACATTGGCTAGTGCTTATCTCCCAATGAGGTAACCCAGTTTTGATTCCCAGTATTGGCTGGTTGGTATGAATTCTGCTTTCGGCTTTAACCTACCACAGTGGTAAACATATCATTGGTTAAAATCCCCTTGCTGTTGGGCTAACCATTATAGGTTTTGGGAGGTTTCCTCTCTATGTAACACAAATGCAAGTTAATTTCATTTAAAAATCCTCTACAAAGGCTAGTTTGTGCCAATGCTTGATCCAGGAGTTCCTTGGTCTTCTAGGTTGGGTTGGAAATTACAAGACTATGGAACTTAATATTGATAGTCATAAACTCAGAATTGGATCAGGTCTCAATGCCATTTATAAAATAACATGTGCCTTTATTTATGAAAGGTGTTTTGTCATAAACTCGCATTGTTTTAATAAAACTATGTAAGTTTTTGGTAAACTTTGTATTTATGAACTTAACTGTTTAAATTTATGCTGACTCTGAAAAATTATTTAACTCTAATTTCAATCATTTTATGCACTTTACTATTTAAATTTATGTTGTAATTCATAAATTATTATCCTTGATTCTGAGGGAGTTACTAACATGTAATTAATTTTCATGTAGTTAATTTCTGTAAATATCGAGAATGAATTAAATATTGAACATGTATTTTCTGCGACACTTTGAAATCAATCTTAAATTTTAACAACTATTTAAATTTCTGATCAATATTTGCTTGATCTAAATTGTAAAGATATCATTTAAACACAAGCTTCGAATTGAATTTTAAAATTTTTTTGCTGTCTTATTAAGATGTAAATTTTATACCTTATGTAACTCTTAATGCTTTCTTTTGTAATTGTAGCAACCTGCCGTAAGAGTATGTGGTGAACTTACTCCAAGCCTGTCTAAAGTTGTTTCACTTTTAGAAAAAGTAAGAAATTTTTTTAATGAATTACTCTTGCATATTGTTAAATTGTATTAATTAATCAGTTTTGAAGCTGTAATATCAGTATTTTATTCAAATTAATATTATTGCTGCTCAACTAAATATTTAAACTAAATATATCAACTAGGTAATTATTTTAGTGATATGATTGCTGATTCCTGTATCTCAAAAATGTATTTTTCCTCAAAATTAAAATTGCTCCAAATATATTTATTATATTCTTGCTCCAATTTATTCTAGTTAAAAGTCGGAAAAATAAACATTTATCAGAGGATTTTCTCATATCTGCTCCAAAACAGGCATTTATTTTAAAAAAGTGCTTAACTTTCCCTCTAAAATTAATATCTGTGAAATTGGTAATTTTAGTTGCTTATATCATCTAAGTGATACATTTTTCATAGGGAAGAATTAGCCCTAAGTATTAGTGTCTAACATGCATTGAAGATACTTTACCAAAACAATTTCATTGTATATTAATTCATTGTATTAATTCATTTCATTGTATACTAAAACAATTTCATTGTTTTCAATTGTCATATTATCTGTAGTTCACTTCACTGATACATTCATTTCACCAAAAACTCATTGCATTATCTTAATATTTTCGACAATGTAATAATTTTGCTAACTGGACTGTTTCAGCAATTGTGATCGTGTTCATTTCGATGAGATTCTATTTCATCTCAAAAATAACCTAATATTTAACATGAAAATAATATAAAATTTTAATTCAAGAATGTTTTTAAGAACATTGAAAAGAATGTTTTTAAATTAGATTTTCACGCAGTGGACTAATGTAAAAATATTTTTTCATGCTGGTTGTTATCAGTAACAGGGTGGGTGACCACTTTGACCAATTTACAAAGGTGCACAGTATCAGTCCTTGTTAAACTGTTCAATCAAAAAGTGCTCAACTTCGTGGCAGATCAACAGGCTACCAAAGTGGGGGATGCCATCCCCTCTGCAGAGGGGCAAAATTATGATGGCATGTCTTCGGATAATCCTCAGGGATGTTTCCCAAAACGTCGCTAATAGCAAATTGTGCTGTTCCTGTGTGAGGAAAAGAAAGTACTATTACTTCTGCTAGTACTTTTTTTCGTTGGCTGTGTCCTTAAAAAAGAGTATATTTGGGATTAGACTTTAAATTAAGAAAATTGGAGAAAAAAATTTATAATTTACTTTATCTATTTAGGTTTAAGTTTTTAGTAATATTTTTAATCATGCTGAAATAAATATTTATTCTTGCAAATCCTCATGTTAATCTTACTATATATAACAAATCACTGGGTTCAGCACACTGCATATTCCAGGTATCCTAATTTATGAGGGTCAAGGTAGTGTATTGATTAGAAAAATCAGACTCCAGTCCGTGGTTCGATCCTCGACTCCACTAAGACCCACCGAGTACTCGCAATATAGGTGCTCATAAGAATCGTGGTCGGTCGCTGCGTAATACCATGGGTGCCGGGATCTGGAGAAAATTTCCTTCCCCTTCAGATCTTTGAGGAAGTGGCCTTACAAATTGTGATGGCATGTCTTCGGATCATCCTCAGGGGTGTTTTCCAGACCATCACCAATAGTCCAAATTTGCAGTTCTAGTGCGATATAAATAGAGTACCTACCTGATCTATGATGTGACAGTAAAAACTGTAAAAATAATTCATTTTAATTATTGTAAAATAAGCAAGGACGCTTGTGTTTTCTGATGTTGTTATTGAACACTTGGCAAATTTTTACCTGATTTGAAGTAACACTCAGGCTTTAGTTTGTTTTTTTTTACACCTCCCACAACTATATAAGAAATTAGTTCTGTTAGTTTTCAACAACCGATTTTCATGATTTTGACCCCATTAATCATCGTCATTTGCTAAATACAGACTTTAATGGCCCAAAAGCCATTTATCAGCTGCTTTAACAAAGTAACCCAAAATAGCTGATCGCGCAAAAGTAACACTCAGACTTTAGGAGTTTTTTTTTTCTCACTTTCACAACTTTTTTAGAAATTAGTTCTGTTAATTTTCAACAGCCTATTGTCATGATTTTCTTGTTTATCATTGTCATTGCTAAAGCTAAATACAGAATTTAATAGCACAAAACCCATTTATCAGCTATACTGCATCAATTTACCAAATTGAAATTATCAGTTTTATTTTAGTAGTTTTGCTACAAAATGCAAATTTAATTTTCCAGAGACTGCTCGAAAAATTGCCTCAAAATATTAAATGCTCAATCAGGATACAACTGTATATTTTTATTTTTATTAATTATGCATAATATTAATTAAGTATAACTGATTCTAATTTCAATACTAATATTTTTCAGGTTTTGATGGAATATAATTACATAAAAAAGAATGCATCTGACACTCTAAAAATTGTATGTATTTACATTACTTAAATTTAGTTAATCAACAGGATTGGAATGTGTGATAGTTAAATTTTTTTTTTTCTTTTAGCTCTCAGAGTCATATAAATCAGCTGAAGGAGCATGGTGTGAAATGATGCAAAATTCATCCAATTTGGGAATGAAGGGTAGAAAAGTGGAAAAAGTATGTTTAAAAACTGCTTATACTCTTTCAAATTATATATATATATTTTGAAGTTTGGAAATTGTTTAATATTTTTTAAGTTTATTTAATCTTTTTAGTAATATAAGTGTATAATAATATAAGTATTTAGTTAAGCTTCTATTCTTAATAAATATATAGATTGATAAAATTATAGTACAGTAGTTTTCGTCTTATTTTGTTAATTCAATACAGCATTTGAGTAAAGGTAAATAATTAACATACTTTTCTTGGTTTATGATATCTTGTTGAAAATATTTTCTTTTCAGTGAAGCAGCTATAAGTTATTAAAATATAAGCGCATTAAAAGTTTACATCATCATCGTAGTTGGCTAGACAGCCTGGCCAATGCCTTCTTTTGAAGATATCTCCATAATGACTTCCGATTTATCTTTGATCTCCAATTCTTTTCATTAATTGCAAGAAAATCAGACTCCACCAAGTTAACCCATCTCAACCCAGGCCTTCCCCGCTTTCTTGTTCCAGTGGGTCTAAAAAGCAATATCTTTTTTATTGTATTGTCATTCCCTCATTCGAATCACGTGGGCCATCCAATTCATTCTATTTACTTTTATGTATTTAATAATATCAGGTTGTTTATAAATCTTGTACAGTTCAAAGTTAAATCTCCTTCTCCAGTTATTGTTTTCATTTACACCACCAAGTATAC